ATGACAATAATGCAAAAATCGAATGGACAAATTCATAAGTGCGATTACGAGATATCCACGTACCACTCTTATAGATGAGAATAAGCACAAAATCAATCGCTGTTAACACAGCGACAAGAAGCATAATCGCTCGATGTACTGCAAACCAGATAGGTTTACCGCATACTTGCCGATCGAACTAGCACTGCTTGCAATATCGTGCAAAGAGAATACCACTATGGTACCATGCACTTTCATCAACTTGGTCCTGTCATTGCCTAGTGTTTGGAAATTATACACGATGCTGTCTGCTCGATTTAATTGTACTGTAGTCGATTGAGCAAATCGAGAATCGCTAGCATGTTTTCTGAGAACATCTGTTTAAGTGATGAGAATAAAGTTACTTCAAGAAAGAATGATTTCGTGTATTACTCACTTGAACTATCCAATTTTCCGAAAGCAATGAGTGGATAATACGCAGTCGTTTGAAATAATGAAGTAACGCCAAGCTGACGTCGTCGACGATCGACACTACTGGCAAAATTCGACAGAGTGAAATCAAAGTATGTGCTGCCATCTTCCACTCGCTGTCGAATTAATGTGAACATACCACCTAGATTGGCGCTTTCGGAAACGGTCTGTGGAGCAGCATAATCACTAGGATTGATATAACGTTCTAGAATAAACGAGTTGTCTGATAGATGATTGCATACAAATAGATGATCGTCATTCTGTGCGAAAAGAAACCAACATATAATCATGATGAGAAATTTATTAAGATAACTTTTTTTCTTACCATGTATTTATCAAGAGAAAGACCTACAGCCAACCATTGAGATATTTTGAGATTCGTGACTGACATATGTGCACTCGTCACACCATCAGTATAAGTTCAAGTGACGATCACTCCAACAGCAGTTGCCGGTGCATTGGTAGTCTCTACAGTGATCGGGTCATTCGAGACGTGAGTAGTAGCGGCAACGGTCATGCTACTTGGCATCGATGTAGTTGTCTAAAATATTTCGGCGCTCAATCATCGATATGAGAGCAAAGTGTCACTGAGACAAACTATTTCTGATGAAATCCAATCACACTAATATTGATCCATGGTAGACATGCATCAAATTTACATTGACTCCGATTCAGATCGAAATGAATCCAGGACAAAAAGTCTTATCTATCGGATTTCTGTCAGAAGTTGCATGAATCATAGATGAAATCTCACAGTATGGATTGTAATTCATTTCCACAAGATTTCATTGACTCACAGAACACCTGCTGGAATCCTCTGGAAACATTTCGATCTAGGAAATCGAAAGAATTTGATTCCAAACTGTTTTTGTTCATAGCAAAAGGAGAGCTTTTATTAGATGACGAGATCGAAGACCTAGTAAAAAACTCAAAGTTTATAGAAATTTGCGCTCTTGCACTTTCTAATATCTTTAATATGAAATGCTTACGACTCCTCAAACAAAAACTGAGGCTTAAACCGAACTGGATCGAATCTGAACTGGATCGAACGTAGAATTCAGAAAAAATAAACATTCAAGTTTGATGCAGGCCTAGTCCATGCTCTTTCTAGCTAACATGCATCTTTAGACTAATTTAAACTGGCCGTCACTTCGTTGAGATAGACTGTTGTACTGTCTTGTAATTGATATATTCTGGGAGTCACTGATGGGAAAAAGTGTTTGAGTAACTTACCTTTGAAGCGAGATAAGATCAACATTTATAATCTATTCGAGTAACAAATCGGACTTACCATCTTGATTTAAAACTCCCGCAACAAACAATAGATAATAGTCTAAATTTTGCACTATCGGATCTGGCTCACTCTCGAATTCTTCTTCGGTATCTATTTTGAATGAGAATTGACATAGAAGACGTCCGTTGGTGTATGTTGTTTTTATGACACTAACATTAGCCAATTAATCAGAAGATCTACATAGAGACGTAAAAAATTCACACGAATGTTAGCAAGATGAAGAAAAAACACTGCTTTCGACCATTCTTCGTGTGCATTGGTTTGACTTGAACACTACTGGTCGACAAAATTTGACACACAAATACGTAATCATTGCCCTAAAGGACAAACCTATATCAAACCCTAATACCGGCATCTTTATGACTCTTACCATAAAACTATCGCATGAGAAACCAATAGATCGCCATTCGTCTGGTTGAACAACATCAATAGTCATTGTGACTATGACTGTTTTGGGGGCATAGAACCACTGAACATTAGCACTGACCATTGAACTATTCGTTAACCATCTTCACTCGTAGAATTCTAAAGAGCCAAGGAAAAACATTGTTCGATTGTCATTCATTTGTCATTGCTTTGCAAGTCAAACTACAAAACCTCTTCAACTTGATTACCTGACCTGTTGTTAATATCACAGAGAAACAATCTAGATAAAATTCACCAAACGATTTGACGATGGTTGCTCTAGGTGAACAAAACATCAATTTATTCTAAAGAAGAGCAGTGAACAATTTACTTGATAATCGTGGATCCTTGAGGCAGCATCGTTGGTGCATGCCAAACGGCTTGAATTTCTGTTTTGGTATTAGAATATGTATGAGTAATGCCACTTGCCGATATTCCATTGGAGTTAATGATCTGAAGAGGTGAATTAGTAGACCAATAACCGAATATTTGCTGACCGGATTGATCTTTGGCAATCAAAAGAATACCCTTGATAGAGTTTGTGTTCGTCGCACCTCGTACAGTGACTGCTCAATGAACAAAATCAAGACAACATTAGTCGTTTATTCAGTATTGCAACAATACGCACTGAGAACTGCATCATTTGCTTTGTATTTAGTTGTATTTGCTTCAAGAACATATTTCGGTTGACATGATTGTGGTCCTAAAGAGTTACGACTAGGCATCATCGATGTGCAAACGGAAGTTGGTGCACCAGTCGGATAGCTATGCCCGATTATGACACAAAGCAATAAAATGAGAATTAGGTAACGCCAACATGAAATCATCTAGAAGAATAGAAACAGATACCCTCAAGAAAACCATCAGAAAATTTTCTTTTTTTTTCGGTACTTATGGTCTCTTTTATCGTTGACACTCAAAATGTTTGACCTGTTTAATCACTCACCTCGCAACGTCGCCATGCGTATTCGACCTCTTATTTATCTTGGTTGTGATTTATCATCGAAAACTGAATTATCAAAAAGATACCTCAATGTAAAAATTCATAAAAAGCATCAGTTCAACATAGATGATCATATTCCGTCGACAAACCTAGTAAGGAAGCAATATAAAAAAAATCTGTTCGCCTTTCCTTGCGAAAACATATACAGAATAAGCTTCCGATTGTGAGCTCAAAAATAACTGCTGTCTACATCAAAGAAGAGAGGAACAAAAAAAGTAAATTAAAGTTGTTTTTCTTTCACCCAACCCTGAAAGCATGATTCTTTAAACCATTTTTTTCAGAGCTAGACAAGTCAGGTATTTTTGAAGTTTCAAATTAGTCAAGTCAATCCAAGACATTACGACTCAGATATATCATCTCTATCGATTCTTTTTCTTTGTATTAATTTCAGAATTTATTTAACTTGAATACTACTCATGTTGCAGACTTGCCTGCAGTACCGCCAATATACTGGGGTACTCATGAAAACCGACCGTAGCATTGACGATTTTTGGTTCATGTTACAATGAGGATGTGGGTGTGAGTCTACTCAACACGGAAGCTGACATTCACACCCACACCCATATAAAGACTTTATAAAATGTCATAGCAGAAAACGGAGACAATTAGTGGAGAAAAAGATTCGTAAACCATCATGATAGACTATGTTGAAAATTAATTCATTAATTCGCCGCTTTATAGCCTTCTAGAACCATTGAAGACGTCATTTACGATGGCTGGAATGATTGTTCTGGCTATTTTGAGAATACAACCGAGAAAAACAGAGAATATAATCAACTACGAAACAGATCAAAGCTGGCGTATTCTAATTGTCGCGATAGATGTTTACCAAAAAAGTAATACAAATAACACAATGCTATATTTTCTTTTTGCAGGATGTGGATGTAGGTGAATGCGTTCTAACTACTCCCTTCTGTCTACACTGGCACACTTAGGGTGTGAGTGTGGGACTCCTCATCATCCGAACTCACATCGACATCCTGCTATTGATACGAAAATTTTTTGAAGTGTTGGGATCGACTGAATGCCTAAGTGATATTTTCAATTTTTTTATAACATATGCTTCGTGATGTTTATATTTCAATAATAATCATAGGCATTAATTTATCGCATAAAATAGCGATGAAAACGAGTGACAAACAGCCCACAGCGAATTACTCTGTGATCATACTGATTCATCATCATCAAAACAACGGGTCTAATTGCTAGTAAGAGAGTGTGCTAGAATCAGGGTGTGAGTGTGGATTGGTTCTTGTCACCCACATCTCACACCCTTTTCCATCACGAAAATACGCTACAAAAAATATTATTCCTATCGATTGTATAGATCTCTGGATGATTCTCCGAACAATTCACAGAGAATCATTCAGGAAACGACACAACCGGCAACATCAATGTGATTGATAGCATGTAATTATGCTAGAGAACTTGAAAACATGTCGATGGCCGGCTGTTACATGGTTGCTTCCAAGTTTTTGCCACTCTCCCCTATCTCAATCCCTTAAATAGGTAGAGAATTCCGAAAATTAAAGTCTGATGAAATTTCTCTACTTTACGTCAAGCAATTACATGCACGAAGCATGATTGTTTAAGAAAGATCTATATGATTACAAGTAACTAAGGAATATCTATCTACAAGTGGTAATATTTGTGAAGAGGTATAATCTCTGTGAAAGAGAAGCAGTAAATTTAGATTTAAACTTTCACTTGCTATTATATAGTGAGTTCAACAAAAAACAAAGCTAGGATTTTTTATTGCCTTTCAGAATATAAATATTATTGAATGAGTCTAGTTCTTGATTAAGTAAAAATAGGAAAAAAGAATCCGAATCATCTTTTGTACAAATTTCATTTCCATCTCTCTCGTAATTTTGAAAATACTTTCCCATCAATGAACATAAGTGTGCCGACACTACCATGTGTTTGTCCTTCTTCTTTCAAAACAGTATATTGAACTACTGTTGGTAATGATATGTTAGAGTTACCAGATTCTGATATCCCATTTCCTCTTTGATTTCCAACAGTTATTGTTACTTGTCGTTTTGTTATTTTATAATTTGTTGTAAAATCAAAGTTGAATTGTGTTTTTATAAATAAAATTTCATTTAGAAAGCCAAACACTGCTATACTATTTATATTAGACAGACCTTTGTATTGTACTAGAGTTTGATCTAGTTCGTTCTCACATGTTTGTTGCATGACTGTTCCTGGAATACCAACAAAATTTGTCAATTAATCACATGTCTAACCGAATTGAACTTGTTTATATTGTTCAAATGTTATTGTGTTAGTTTTACTGGTAATAGAAACGATATCAATACTACTAGAATATCGAACAATCGAGAATATTAGTAGTAAAGCGATGGATATCATTTTGATTCAACAAAAACGTAATTTATAAAGTGTTGTTGTAGGTCAGTTTTCTTACAACTACTATAGTAACTATTAAATCATCTATTTGACAGTTTCTTTATATTTTTTGCCTATTTCCTCTTGTTTTTAATCTTTAGCAACATAAACAAACTAATAAAAGTGGAGTGAACAATGTTAATACTTTGAACACAGAACAATCACATCTCTTTTTTTTTTACTTCAATAGAATTGCACATTACGATTTATGCGCAATATGTGGCTGCTAATACTGTATTTGCTATTCCAACAGTTGGATCTTACGGTAAACCTGATCATTCTCATGCTTTCAGATTTGTCGGATACCACGTCGAAATTCCAGACGCAAGTTTTTCACAATTTCCAACATAATCCTATCAGATTTAACAAAATCCGACAATTTCCTCAATAGAATTCGATAGGATTCAAATATGAGATTATACAACCTGGAAATCTAAAAACATTTAAAAGGAACCCGAAAACTATTCAAATGGTCCTGCTAGAAATTCCTTTCACAGAATTCTGATGGAAATTTGTTGCACGTAAAGTCTAATGCAATTCAGAATTCTTCCAAGCTTTTCACTTTCAAAGCGTTGCAAGAGTCACATTTGAACCCCTTGTAAGCATTTGATATTCTTATTACTATGCCATAGCAATTTTTCTAAAGGTTATACTATTATTCGTTGCTAATGTCTCTCGTGTGAGAGGTTATTCAATACAATGTTCGAGTAGTTGAATCAAGCAGCACGACTGAATGCATCGAGTAATTGAATGAATAAATACATTGATTAGTTGAATGGCACACCAAACTATACGGTTCACTTTTTCAGTAGCCAAACTAAGTTTTCAGTCGAAACTTGTAATGTGATGAATAGGTAATGTAATGGAGGAGTACTTTTTGAAGTATGACTCGACTGGACGGAGTGTGGAGTGTAGGTATGAATTGTGTGTGAATGTCGGTGTGGGTGTGAATTCGGGTCTGGATATGTCTGTATGCTTATAAGATAGATATCCACCCCACACCCACCCTCGGTTTAGTGAGACTGTTGTCATTTTAGAAATACAAAAAAAAAACTGTAATAATTCATTCATTGAAAAAGTCCTATTCGAAAGATCAATATGAAAAGATTTATCGATTGATGTTAATATGTCAGTTAATCTTTAACATTATTAAAATGATTCCCTAAAAGAAAACAAAGAATCTTGTCATATGTCGACTGAAATTTTTATTGAAAATAAATGAAATGTATCGATAAATAATATACAAAAACATCTATTTATCTAATATTTAGATAAAAATTCGATGCCCAAACTCAATTTTAATTCGACAAAATCTTACTTAAATAGTTTTAACGAATAAACATTTTGTTTTTCATAAATGAAAAACAAAAAAACATTGTTTTTCTTCATTAATATAAAAAAGAATATAATAGAAAAGCACCAAATAAAACCCCTTTTTTATATGTAACATGCTGGAATTTCGATAATTAAAAAATAAATAATATTGAGAAAAAAAACATAAATCTATTGTTTTTCAATTGGTGGAGCCGATGGATAAATATTACTTTCTAAAACATCTTGATAAGTTGGTGGTGGAGGAATTTGTTCTTTTTCAGTATTTGTCATTCCATAATTAGTTTGTCCTTGTTCAATTAAAGCTGAACTAGGTGATAATAAATAATTCCTTGGATGTCTTAATGGTTCTTTAAATCTTTCAATATCACAAGCCCAAAGTGAACTTCCGATAACATTTGTTACTGGTGTTACCAAATTTATTAATGGAATCATTTCTAATAATACACCGACTATACCAAAATTTGTATAATCTGATCGATTTTCTTCAACAAAATGTTTTCCTTTTAGAATAAAAAACAATAAAAAGAAATAAAAAGAACAAATAGAAAAGGCAAACCTTGTGAAAAAGTTAAACCAAGTAAATCAAAATAACGACAATGTAATGACCATGCATAATAATATCCATTTATGTATATGTAAAGAATTGTTCCAATAATTGGAATTAAATTTAATGGAGATGTTATTACAACAAGAATAACACGAACTATAATTAATATTAAAAATGATTTAATACAAGAATAGGTTTTTGCTGATAATCTTTCTCTTTGAATTTGATTTATTCCCATTGTTTCTTGACGCCAAACAGCATCAAATATAATATCCATATAATATGCAAGAAATAATGAGGAAAATACAAGAACTGAAACGGCTATTTCAATTAATGTTAAAAAAAAACTTAACATCCATGATATCCATCTAGACATATATGATGACAAACCATGTGCTTGACCAGGAAATGCAAATACAAATAATAATATTGATGAGATTATCGATACAATTATCATTATAATCAGACCACAAAATATGTGTCTCCATAATGATGGATGCCTTATTAAATAAAATATCCCATGAAACGGATACGTATAAGATGGACGAAGAGCCATTTTTTTATTTATTTAATAAAACTAAATAAATATTATTCCGAATATATCTATGAATTGCTATTCTCCTTGATTAATCATCTATTACCAATTAGATATTATTCCAGAAGAGGACACTATATATCGATTCAATCTTATTTATTAGCAAAATTTTCCTATTTTGAAGATTTTTCTCTGATGATTTTATATGAAATAAAAGGAAAACAGATTTTTCTATTGATTATTTATTTATTGTCAAACTTTTATTTTACTCCTTAAAATTCGTCAAATTTAATTTAAATGCTTTTCGAATGTATTCCATATAAATAATTCTTCATTAAAAAATGATAACATGGAGATTTGCTTATAATTATTCTCGAAAAATAACTGAATGAAAGGATTCATTATGAATAAATCTTATTTAAATAAGAATTATTTTATCTAATATATATATAGATTATTATAATAAATAGAAAATACATAGAGGGCAGTACAAAAGCTTTTCGTACAATTCTTTCTTTAAATACAAATATGACGATAAAAGCCACGGTTCTTCGTTTCTAAATAAGCACAATATTTCAACCAATCATTCTTCATCATAGTTCACTCATCTAATAAATTTCGAACATTTTTCGAACTGAGAACGGTATGGCCAAGAACAGTTTGAGTACGGTGTTGAGAGCTGGCGTCATTGTATCTCTCGACATCAATGTAGAGAAAATGTGCATTATGTATGCAATGGCGAGTGAATCTCGAGGTGCATTTGAATATAGCTTGTCTCAATCCGACAAGACAAACGGATAACGACAGAAGAAGAGAAATTACATCATAGTCTTGAGAAGCAACAGAATATTTTCATTTTCATTTTCCTTTGAATAATATTAATATACACATAAACTCTAATACAAGAAACTATATCGTATTATTTTCTGTGTCAATCATAAACTCTGATTCCTTTTTTTATGCCAGTTATGGCAATAGTTTGGCATTCTTATCAGAACTTATTTTTTGGAAAAACTTTTCGTGAATTTTGTCTAAGATGTTTCTTTCTTTGAATCATGGACATATGATGATTTACCGCAAGCGTAAATATTGTTAATATGCTGTCCTACCAGTATTTCATGGAGAGAAAGCATAAAGAATTGATCATTTGATAATACGAAATAAACACTTAAAAGATTTTAAAAAATAATTCAAAATAAATATTTTTGTGAAAGTTGAGAATTATCGAATGCAGAAAACAAATCTACGAGATGTCCAAGGAAGCTATCAGCTGGCTTATCTCATTCAAAAATCCAAAGACGATCTCTTTGTCTTTGTATGAACAACAATAGTATTTTTTGTTGTTGTTGTTGTTTATTTTCATTTTATTCTCTAATTATTACAAATATCCATCGTGTGTTGATACATTTTGATTAATTACATGATATTTCACCTGCAGTTGATGAGACTAAAACTCAAAAAATAAAAAACAAGTGTTTTTCAATATTAAATATGTGTTTCTGGCATTTATTTTTGAAGAGTAAAAGTTAAGTGCATAAAAATTAATCAAAGAATTCGCCTCTATTCGGTCTAAAAATAACGATATGACAGGCTTTTCTTTTGAAAGATTACATGTCATAAAAAGAAATTGTAAAGCTTTGAGTAAAGACATTTATGGTTTTACGAAAAATTTGTAAAAAGAAGTCATTGTTTCACTACACGAATCTCTAACTTCTAAAGAAAAAATATAGACGTAGACCCTAACCAAACAAAAGAAACAAAGTTATCACTGCACACATTTGTTTCATTGCTCTTATACATTCTTTTCGTAACAACCAGTTGGATATCTTTTCTAGTCGAATTGACTTAGAATATGTATCAAGCAGCAGAATAGTGGTGGTTCGAGTCCCGTGAACAGATGATCTTTTTCTCCGTTCTGTTGTCATTCTAACCAGCTGGTAGTCACACGTGACTTATAATTTCAGTCCCAAACAATTCATTAAACGCCCGATGATTAAAAATTTAATATGCTGATTTCATTACATGATCATTAAATCAAACCAATTGTTAATTATGAGGGCGATACGGTAATGATTACATAAAAAAAAGAATGAATTGTGGAATTTTTTTTAATACATACATGTTAGTTAGCTTTCTAGATAAGTAAGCGTAAAATGTTCTTCTTTCTTGTCTTAAAAACTTATCTGAAGAAGTATAAAGATTTTCTAAATGAATGAGAAAATTTTCAAGTGAGTGAATCTTGCTAAATTGTTAGGGAGAGGAATAGCACTCTGCGTTGATCAAAGAATCTAACCTTCTGAGTTTGGGATAAATACAGTGCTGCTATTGTTATGATTATTGGCATCCAATGTTAGATTACAGATTGATCGGATG